GCTGGCAACCACTTCAGAGGGTGTAACCTCGCCTCCTGCCCGAAGAAAGCTGGGATAGGCTCCAGCACCGCGCCTACGACCTTCGTAAGCATAAGCGGCTCAGGTAATGGATGGATTTTTCCTTACTTTCCAAGAGAGTCGAGTTGAAAAGAAGCACCAAGGTCTTTAACCCTTTCAGGGACAGCGGTTACTAGAATGGACAGCTTATCATGTCCGATAAGCTGTCCAGTGTAGGTTACAGTGGCATGAAAGGGTCAAATGTCTGAATCTCTATTCTGAAGGTGTGCCCTCACCAGGCAGCCATCATGGACTCAAATTTGAGAGTGGGTCGTCATTCTCAGTCGTCCCCCCACCCCCCTGCTCCTCCTGGCTGCTGGGTGTTGTCAGCACCCGGAGGCTCCTTGATCATGAGGGCTGTTTGGCACAGCGCCCACTACTCCCCTTCCACCCCCCCAGCTTCCACCCGGCAGGGGCCAGGGCCTTGATATACAGGCGCTGGTGTTAGCTAACAAGCAGCACTCGGTGGAAAAGTTGAAGAGATCAAAATGCAGGGAGGCTAAATTTGAATCATTTCGCCATTTAGGATTTAGAAGGCGATTTGGAGAGCCAGTCATTCCCTACGTCAAAATATTGTGACAGTGATGAATAAAAATAGGAGATTTATCTAATGCTTTTACGACTCTCGGGACTTCTCCGAGGGAGAGGTTAACTCAGTGACAGAATCAAGTGCGAGCTCAAATAAACAAGTGAGCCATGCTTTGATTTAGGCCCTCGATTTAAAAACCGAGGTCCACCGTCTGGACACGAATTGCGGGCTGTATTTGTATGCTCTTTCTGAAACACCATGTTAGCGGTGGAGAAGCGACGATTCACCACTCACTGACGGTCATATGGCTTCACAGAGAACAGAAATGTCATGGAAGAGTCCAGCCGAGGTACACTACAGGCAAGCAAGCCTCTTTGTGGTGAAAATGGCAGAGTGGTAAACCCCTCAAGATGATGCAGCGAAAGGTCCAGATCGCAATTGGCAGTGGTGCTGATCAGCTGCTAATGGCTAGTTAGTCAACACATACAGTAACTAAAGAGAAAGAAATATTTTGCAATAAATATACTCTATTTACAAAAATGGTAGTATTGATGTATTATGGAGTCAAAATTGTATAAAATGGTTCCTAGTAAAATAGTAATTGGTATTTTTACAGCTTCGCCAGCATGCTCATGCTTCTTGGTGCCTTTTTCTTTTTTTTTTTTTAAATAACCACATTTTTAGCATGACGTTTACATTTTTATTTTGTATTTTCACTTGCACTGTTCAACCAGAAATGTTTAATTTGATATGACATTCAAAATGGGAGTGGAATCCTTTGCAAGACCTTCCGGCTTCATTCTCCCTTGCACTGTTCCTTTAACTGTGATAAATAAACAAACAAACAATAACAAGCAACCTTTTTTCTAAACATTTTCAACTACCGGTAGCTTGATTAGCACGCTACATAGTCAATTGGCGTACCTAGCAAATCATTAACATGAATGGTAAGCAGCAACTGAATGGCTTACCATACCAGGCACGTTGTTAGCATAACAAGCTAACGGGATTAGCAAGTGACATATTTTGCTAGCTTGACGATGCAGGTAAAAGCTTAAAAATAAACTTTTATCTGCTTTCTGATAAGTGAATGTGGGGGAGGTTGGGTAATGCTAATCGCACAGAGTACTACTACTTGTCCTTGTTGGTATGGAAGCCCAGCGGGTGGACGTTAAAGGTCTTGCGTGGTTCTAATGTGCATGTGTGCCTGTGTGAGCTCGGTACCATTACACACTCCCATTGAAAATTGCCCACTTAACATAGCTCTGCTACGGCAACATATGTTTGTCATTAGCGGGAACACTAATAGTCAAAAAGTGGATGTGCGCGCTCCTAATGGCATCGTTGTGCTTTGTTCCCGGCCTGTACGATAAGAGTCGGGCCAGCTAATGACTTATTAATGTCCCTCCGTAGAAACAAAAGACAGGATTCAGGAGGGCCTGCTAATAGACGTGTTACCATCGCAGCACTAAAAATACGACGGATAGTCTGATGATTTAAAAACGACAAGTTTATGCTGAATTTGACTTGGTCCACGCAGGGATTCCCCAAACTGTGGTGCGCACCCCCGGAGGTGTGAGAACTGTTTTATTTGCAAGTTTACATGACTCAAGAGTACGCATTTCTCAGCCATTAATGGCAATGTTGATGTTTTTCAATTCTGAGGGCAAGTGCAAAGGAAAAGGAGGTGCACCAACTCAACAATTAAGACACAATGTTTGTGCAGAAACTCAAGTTATACAGGGAAAAAAATAATCTGCAAGTTTGTGGAACTAAACATGATGACTTTAAGAGCTATTAATGGCTTTGTTTTGAAATATTTTTTCTTAGTTTTCGTTTTTTTGTTTTTAATGGGGTATTGAGGGTGCACCAACTATGTTGGGATGTTAAAGGGCATGGCTTAAAAAGTTTGGGAAAGGCAGATTTACAGATATATGTCTGATAATAAATCTACCTATTTATCTAACTATTCCCAGCACTGATTCCTAAACAATGGTGTGCGCACCCCCGGGGTGTGTGAACTGTTTTATTTTTATTTCTGGGTTCACATGACTAAATATGATGCCTTTCTCAGTTATTAGTGACAGCTATTAATGCATTTGAATGTTTTTCTCGTTTCAGAGGTCTTTGCGGGGGAGATGAAGTGCACCAACTCAACAACAACGATTCCAGGTGTGGGGGGGGGGGGGGGTAAAACTCCTGTGGAGTCATATGTCCAAGTGGGATCACCTCGCTCCCAATGGGGGGGGGGGGGGGGGGGGGGGGGGGGGATAAAACCTGCAGGCTTGCGTGACTAAGCATGATGTCTTCATTGGTTATTAATGGCTTTGTTTTGACTTTTTTTTTGTTTGGAAAATTTGTGAAAGGGGCATTTACAGCTTAGCTTTCTATTTTATGAAAACCCTCATCTATCTTCCTATCTCTACCAAGGATTCCCAAATTGTTGTGTGCGCAGCTCTACAGGTACATGAGAGGTGTTTTTAGTTTAGTTTCACATTGCCGTAACCAAACATGATGCATTTATTGATATATAAACATCTTTGGCTTTACTTTTCTTTTTTCTTTATTAAGATGTGTGCCCTAGTGATGCATAAGAAGCAGGTTTTGTTTATTTTCAGGTTTGCATGACTACACGTAATGCCTTTATTGTCAAATAATGACCTTGTTTTGACTTTTTGTTTTCGAGAATGTGCGAGGGACAAAGGAGGTGCGCTAATTCGACAATGAAGACGCTAGGAGGGAATTTGTGCAAAAACAGCAGTTTTAACGACATTTCAGGGGGAAGAAAATGAAATTAAACTTCGTAATGAAGATTTCCACATGATTCCACACGACAAAAGAGCAACTAGCCGATATCAGCGATCCCTGAAAGGATTTGAAAGGTGTCGGAAGTGTCTGCTGGTCGCCCATTGACACCACAAAGCGGCGGCCAGCATTTGAACTCGGAGGCGTTTTTTTATGCGCGGGCAGCCATGTGTGTCGCACTGACGCTCCACTCTCATTGGATCCTTTGTTCCCCATCACTTCTTTGGAGTGTTCACTTTACTGACAAAAAAAAAATTTTTTGAATAATACATGAAACTGGATGGCCATTCATCAATTATCCGGCAACGTACTTAAACTGCAACAGTAATGATGTGAATGTGACATAATAATCAGTGACAAGAAAAAAAACAAGTGAATGCATTATTGATGACTGATTCGGCCACAGATGTCAAACTGAAGGCCCAGGGGCCATAATTACCCTAAATTAGGGTTAAGAAAAATGTGCATCAGATGTACAGTAAATATATGATAAGTATTGTTTATATGCATATGGCTTTACAGTTGAAATCGTCCCTTTTTGTGCAATTTTTAACATAAATTGACTTTTATTCGTGCAGATTTGACCTTAAACTCAATCAAAAGTGGTCTTTGGACATAAAAATCATGTCACACGCTCGATTTAAAACAATCAAACCTCTGAGCTGAGAGGGAAACTCAAAATGTTTTAGCAGTAGATTTAATGTGGCGGAAATATGGCTCCCCAAAGTGTAACTGTAAGTTTTCTTTTGGTACAAAGTGATGATTCAACGCTCCATGTTTGGACTTTTTTTTCTATGTTGTTGACACCGGCACGCCAACTGAGGACATAATAACCATTTTTAGACATGTTCTCTGGATCAAAAATACTTTCTTCTGCGTCTCAGTCACCTGGAGGTGTCTTGTGAGTAGTTGTGTAGTAATCCAATGTCAATGTGAGGAGCTAAAACAGTTTTTGTCTGCGTGCTTATGTTTTTAAAATGTCTTATTTCATCATACATATGAATACGTGTTGTGTTGAATCATTATAATGGTACTTAAAGTAATTTTAACCTTATAATTTCAGTTGATCCTCAAATTATATGTTCAGGCTTCTTCTCTACTTATTTCCTTATCTTCCTCAGTTTACCTAAAATGTTAAATAGTGGGGAAAAAAATAAGATTCAACACAAAAGCTGCCCAAAGTTCATTTTTAAATACAGTCACACATCTTTTCAACCAACCGGATTCTTGCTCCGGTATTTGTCAGAACTTTCCCTGGGCTTCAATGTGTCTTGTCCGGCCACTGAGCGACCACACTCCCGTCACTAAGGCATGCCTTTCCCGGGCCTCATCTAAACTATGCCCGCGCCAGAGTGAACCTTCCATGGCCATAGCAAACATTCACCGCTCGCTCACTCAACAAGGCTTCCATAGAACCTCTCTTTGCTTGGCTCTCGGTAAGTCTTCGTCGGCCACTTAGCGAGTTTTCCCCCGGCGGCTCTCCGAACCTCAGACTTCCATTTCGCAACACTCTCCGGTCACTCAGCAAGCCTTCCCCGGCTCTTCTCCAAACGTTTCTGCTAGCCAGACGGCCAGCCAGTCATTCGGGCCCCCACTACCAGTGCCTTACCTCTATTCCAGAAGCACTGGTTGCCGGGGGATGTATCAGCAGCCAAACGCATTCTCACGGGGGAAAATCCACGCGGGGCCCTCCATTCCACGCGGGCGACACGGAGACCACCGCACCGGTGAGCGTGGAGCCTCTCAGCTCCGCGGAAGAGTCCCCAGCTCCGGGGCTAGAGTGTGACAAATGGCGAAATTGGAGGGAAAAAAAAAGCCGGAATTGGTGGTGGACGCTGGAGCACTTTTCACTAGTTATTCCACTGCGTGTATTAAAAAAAACACTTTGTTGGCGACACACGGTCACTTGTCAGGAGCCGCTGAGCGGAGGCGCTCTTCCGCTACACTCGCACCTCTGGAGCCAGTGTCGAGTACCTCCGAGGATCATAGCAGCAGCGGCTAGGCTGGAATGTCCCAGCCCCTCTCGCACGTTGCTCCCACCAGGAGGAGGAGGGAGGAGGGACAGTAGGACGTTGGGAGGCGGAGACAGGAGGTGGAATCTTGGAAGACGACAGCGAGGAGGAGGCCGAGGACGGAGTTTGTTGCCCGCATGGATTGTATGCCTTAACATTTGCCAGTTTGACCTGCTTCACAAAACGACACAAAGTTGACTTAGATGGACTGTATGTAATTCATCAATCTTAGTGGATACTTTGGTGTCATCACAAACATTTTTGCTGAACGCCCCGATCCTTAACACCTGCATAACATTTTGCAAATATAATTTGAAATCATAGGAAACGAATTGCATGTCACTTAATTGTTCAAATGTAAGTGTATACTGTATATACACAAGTACGTTTGCACTAATACATATGAACTAATGCGTACGTACAAGTACGTATGTGTGTAAGCGCAAGTCCGTATGTATGTATGTATGTATGTATGTATGTATGTATGTATGTATGTATGTATGTATGTATGTATGTATGTATGTATGTATGGTGCATCTAATAACTTCTTACAACAAATTATCATTATTAGCATTATTATTGTAGTGATATTCATGTATTTGGTTTACAGTAATTGAAAATATTTGACTGAAAGAGAACTAATATAGAATTCTTATGTATAATAATTTGTGTTCTTATTCGCATGCAATTTATTCATATGAATTTATTTCTATGAATTATATCTGTATATTAATTCAAAAATCTTGCTCATCTTGTTCATGTCATTGCATTTTTCAATTGTTATAATTATATGTGTTATTACCATTATAATGAACTAATGTAATCGGATTAATTTATCTATATTGATTTAAAACCCATTATATATAAAACAACAGTATGGCATTCTTATCATTTTATAATTTAATATTTTGTGTTATAGTATAATCATGACTGCACATGTGGTATGTCGTATATCAAAATGGTGAAGTAACTAATTTCTATTCAAATATCTATTTATATTAGTTTACTAGTGTTATAATTTGATTATGATTAATAAACCATTATGATCATCAGAACACACTGAAGGCCGATTTTCCACATTGTGATTGTTCGGGCTTAAATAGTCGTTAAAAGTGGAAATTTCCAGTCATTTGCATCATCAAAAAACACATAATCAAATAGTGTTCTTGACTGGGCTCATTAAATATGGGGGTGTGGTGAGGGGTCAGTTTTTGGCACCGCAGTGCGACTGAATGTTGGTCGACGGGGACTGTGACACAAGCATGTGTTGTACATATGAACATGAGTCAACAACATGATCACAGAGGCCATTACACGTCTCAGACGGCAGGTGCAGCCTCGGTAGGTCCAAAGGCAACAGAACAGCAAAGGTCTCACGGAAAGAGAAAGAGACGAGAAACAGCAAAGGAGGAGGTAGAATACTTCCATTTGCCCGAATTCTGTCATGATCCCACTGCTATGGCAACCAAACTAAACAGGATTTGACCTCAGTCCATAAAGCTTCTGCAACAGGCCTAAGAAGAAACCTGCTTAATTTAAAAGTACAGGAGTTGAAGTCGAATCCGTGTACTTACCCTTCCATTTGTCCACTTTTCATGTGGGATTTGACTCAAGCGGGTCTTAGCTGGTATTTAAGCTTCATGTTGGTCATACATTTGACTAAGAAGATAAAATAATCGACAATCTGGAGAATCATTCAAAATGTGATAGTGAATATGTTCGTCTGGCGAATGCAAGTACAGATATTGAGTGCATATTGTACGGTGGACCCGACGCTATTGTGACACGAGCTCACCCATGACCATGGCATGTTTTTTTCTGTGGTAAATATTTAAATATTTAGGTGGCCACACAGAGGATTTGGGGTCTACCTCCCAGTTCTAAGGCTCTGGGCTCAGTGCAAGTCTGGCACGAGGACTACTCTAAATCTACGCAGGGGTGGGCAAGACTAAGTTTTGGTATTTTTGCAGACCCGTCTAAGCCAGCGCAAAAAAAAAAAAAAAAAAAGGGCGGGGGCTATGCGCCATGGTGGGTGTGAAGGCAGCAAATATTGAATCAGCGCCAATCGAAGAAGCTTCTCTCATTTCCTTCAAATGTTTTTATGGTTTTATAAACAACTGCAAGCAGACCTTCATGAGCGGATGAGATAAAGCTGGTTATAGGGAGATCACAGATCTGTGAAATGGACACTTGGAGACCACCTTTCCCCTGGATTGGAGGTGTCCTTGTGACAATACTTAGATATGGTTCCAGCAGGCGAAAAATGTACTTTCAGCCATCAAATTGTTAGGTGTGCCGAACGCACCTCAGAGGAAAAACCTTCAGTCCACCAGATTGCCCAGCATGGCGCAGAGAGATGAACCAAATTCCTCTCTCCCAAACTCATCTGGGATAAACTTCAGCTCACCCGTGACCCTGAACAGGATTTTTTTCTGCGATTCATTAAAGGAAGTTTCCACAAAACATGAGCAGCCATTATCAACTAGTTTGTAGTGGCTTACGAGGGGGGCGTGTTTTATGAGAGCTCCATCTTTTCGTCCCTCTCTCGCTGTGACGGGCCGCTTGGAGACGTCTGAAGTTTGGGGAATGAGGGGGTGGTGGTGATTGGACACAGTCGCATGTGAAAGGCCAGAGAGTCCACGGGGGAGCGGGGGTCCGCACACAAAAGGCCAGGGAGGGGCCAGCCGTGCAGGAGGGGCCACCGCTGGGAACCAAAGCTGACAGCACAAACACCGCCCTCACCCTCAACTTACCCCCCCGCAATCTCAGCAGTATTTACTCACGTATGTGTGCTGGGACCTCTGACCCACATTTAACTGATAGGAGGCTTGTTTGGTCCATGTCAACAGATTACAACACTTTCATGTTGCATTTGAGGACTTCAGGGAAAACAGAAATATCTCAAACTTGAATCCATTTTTCGTAAGAGCTTGGTCCGAATCACATGCCTGCACTCCAAAAACGAATTTCCTCTTTGGATAGTCCACTGGTGTGGCCGCTTTAGAGTGCCTCATTATCAGCCATGAGTGCATGCATGTCACAGAGAGAAAGGTGGACGAACAAGGAGCGGGAAAATGTCTGACGTGACAGCCAGCATCTGAACAGGGGATTCGAACTTGTCTCGTGGTTTTGTCATGGGTGCACGTCTCGACAAGACAGACAAGTAGAGATGTGGAAAAAATAAGTCAGACGTGACAGCCAGTCCGTGGACAAGGGATTCGAGCTGTTTAGAGTGCCTTGTTTTCCGCCATGAGTGCACAAGTCATGGAGAGAAAGGTTGGCAAGCGAGGCGGGTGAGAGTCAGATGTGACAGCAGGCAGGGGTTTTGTGTTGTGCAGGCGCTTTAGAGCGCCTCGTTGTCAGCCAGATTTGAACCCTAAACCTTAAATGTGCTGACCACGACACAACCATGCTGCCCTGATGATTACTGTTTGTCACACAAGTTCCAATTCAACCACGTTCTTGTTTCATAACCATGCATGACCTGTGAAGTACTTGTAATTACTTTTCCTATTAAGACGTGCCAAGTGCGATGTAAATCATCGATCTTTGTCATTCATCATGAAAGTTGGGATTTGTTTTACATTTTAAGACTGCTGGCAGCATACACGAGTCTATTTGAGGTTCTTGTGGTTTGCGACCCGGCCGTCCTTCGGCGTGAGGATAACGAGCTGGCAAAAAGTGTCAACGGAGTGTTTATGACCTGCGCAGAACAGCACTGGCCCACTGTTGACTCTGCCAGCAGCACGCTCTCTCACCTCCAACACTATTAAAAGACACTCGGGGAGAGATAACGGCACCCCCCTTGCCCCCCGCCCCCACGCACTACCCCACAACGTACATCACTGTCATGGGCTAACTAACCCTCGGCATAGTCCCGCTTATAGCTGCAAACTTTCTCTTGTGTCCCGCTACTTTTACTTATGAGCTGTGTTCAAAGTGGGCATCATATTTTTTCACTTTGACTCAACGCAGGTGAAGACATAAAGCCGTAGTGTGAAAATGTCACGCTTTTACGGCGTGCACTCAACAAATCCCTCAACACAGAGGCTGTATGTGTATATATCATTATACAGACACAAGGGGGTGGGTGTGTGTGTGTGAGTCTGTGCGCTAGCGCCTCTCTCCATCTGCTTTCTGCATCACTGCGGCGGGATCCTACTATCCATCGCGAGCTCCCTGAGAATTCCATCAGTGTATGTGTGTGTAACGTCTCACTCGTTCACACTTGATCACAAGGGAGCATGATTGTCTTTGGAAAACGACAAGGTGTAACATTGATCGATGTAGAGTGCCGCCGGCACATATGAAGGATACCAAGCGGGTTAATAATGCAGGCGGGTCATTGAGTAACAGAAGCGTGTACTATACTTTGCACTGCACGTACGGTGTGACAAAATCCAATGGGTTGACTACATCCTTGTGAGATAAGCTCAACATGAGTATGACCCTCAAACTGCCAAAGAGGACGATTTGTGTAAAACCACATTCAGGTGAGTGGATGAGTAAAAGTCAGCGGAAGCAACTTGATGCAACTGTGTGTGTGTGTGTGTGTGTGCGCGCGTGTGGATTGGAGAGCGAATGAAAGAGAGTGTGGTGACCTGTAAGAGCGCCATGACTCCTTTAAAAAAGCCACATGTTGGGGGTCCTGGAATGAACCCTGGCCCTTGCAGACACCGGGCTGGGCCCCAATGGGAAAGCGATTGTTTATTTAACTAGTCTTTTATGGAATAGCGAGTGACAGGAAGTCCTTAAAACAGCAACGGCTACTATTTATACAGACCCCTTTGGGAGTAAACACCCTGCCGACCACCATCAACACCCCCAGCACCCCCTTCCCCAAACACCCCTACAAGCAGACATCCCGCCGTTGAGGAATGTGTCCATTCACAAGTAGACGGCCATCTTGGGAGCTTGGATCTTGCGTCCCGTCGCCATGGCAATCCAGTTTCACCCAGCGCATTTTTGACATCCCGTGAAGACATTAGAAGATGTGCGGTGAAGAGATGATGAGCTCGTTTTTTTATG